TCTCTCGCTGTCTCTTATGCGATGTTTGGTTCTTTTTATTGCTCTCTCTCTCTCTCTCTCTCTTCTCCTTTTACCCCAGTTTCAAGGGGGTCACATATCTACCCCACACACAAAAGTGGGGCCAGACGATATAAGCTTCAGCCCACTTTCGGGAGTAAACAAGCGTTAAGTTTGTGTGTTGCCAATGCAAGCGGAATGAACGACAACTGCGTCCGGTGCCTAGACGAAGCTGGGCTTTCGTTTCAGTCGGCATTCGGACAATTCGAACAATCGTCAAGGCAGCAGTTGACTATGCACCGGCTGTGATTAAACGTTAGTCCTTCGAGGGACTGTGTTTGTTTGCGTTAGCAGCCGCAACAACTCCGGAGCCGAAACTTCCTCCACGGCCGAAACGGATCAGGCGATTGTGCAACTGGATTTGGAATGATGAGAGAGAATCCTTCGGATGAGTGAATCCCGTTTTCGCGGACCTGTCGAATGGAACTTCTGTACTACAAGACTCAAGAGCTTTATGAATGCGTTTTACTCTCAGCTACGATTCGTTTAAAGCAAACTTGGAAGAAGAATCGGATAAAGCTAATTGACAACTTCGGAGTTGGCGATACTACTCACAAGGGTTCGTCTTGCTGCTGTCTGCGATTCAGCCAAGACCGTTGAAAAAATGACCACGGATTGCTCTGGGTCACAGGACAAAAGTGAACTTCAAGAAAGCCTCACCATTCCGTAGATCACATTTCTCCGGCGAGATTGTCAATGAGGCAAAGTTGCGTTTGCTGCAGTCTCAATTTTCCGTTTATACGTTTGTTGGGAGCACTTTCATTTCGTGTGAAAGTGCATGAAGAAGAGATTCGTTGGTCGATCTCACCAGATGAGGATGGATGAGTCGTGTTGTACGGCAGCCGTTTTGGCTTTTCTACGAAGTCCAAGTTGACGCAGTCCACGAGACTTTCTCCCTCATTTTTTGAAGGAAAAACGGGATAAGATTTCTGATGATGTCCATCGAAACATGGACAAAAGTTCATCCCGTTTTCCGCTCAAAACGAATGAGGACAAGGGTTCATGGACGTCGAAGAAAAGCCAAAACGTCTGCAATACAACGCGACTCATCCGTTCTCTTCTGGTGAGATCGACCTACAAATCTCTTCTTCATACACTTTCATACGAAATAAAAGTCCCCTCAACAACGTTTTCTCAGGGGACTCTTCGCATCTCATGTGAGAGCATCGGTGTTCGGTTTCGGTTTCGATCTCGCCTCGACGCCATTCACATCGAGGCTCGTCCAGATTGTCCGCGACTGATACAGCTTCAGGCCGGGTCGTCTTGCGGTGATTCGGGAGGTAGAGAGATGAGGTCATCTTCTTGAAGGCCAACTTCGCTGAAAGCCGGCGTCAAGGAGCCGGAGACAAACATGCTTGCACCGACTGAATCGGCATTCGGATCAACGGACCGGTCTGAG